CTGACTCAAGTAAGCTGGATAATAAACACAATTAATGTCTACTAAAATGTATTTTAAAATCAACTAAGGATATTTTCTCACTGCTTCAGGGATTAAAAATGCAAAGCTTGGTTTTAATATCAAAATAAAGTATAAATGGCATACTTTTTGCTGTGCGTAGGTTTTCAATAAGCAGGAAAAAGATATGCATCCTCTCCTCTTCCTATCCCCAAATTCTACATTTCTTCTTTCCCTCCTCTCTTCCTTCTAGTACATGTGGTTTATTGAATGTGGATGGAAATGACTCATTTCAGTTCCATAGATCTTGCTCAAAGATAATACAATGGCTGAGAAGGGCATAATGGCATAATTTTCATGGCAGTTATATAGTTAATATATCAAAACAAGAAGTCAATGTATAAAATAAATACTAAAAATTCTTACTTAAAACTCTGTGCCTGTTCTAATGTCAGTCCCTAGTATATTAACTCCCTTCCACCCACCACATACATACTTCTAAGATGTGATAAAAACTTCAACACTATATTTTCTTCCTGAAATTTTAGTTTTCTTTTTACCAGTCCTAATGAACCCGCAATCAATTCATCAGATTTTGAACATATGTTTTTTGAAAACTTTTTTAAAAACCTGGTTTGATTTTAATTGGTATAGATACTGAGAATCAATAGTCCTGGATTCAAGTTCTGAGTCTGTCACTAATGTGTTCCCTGGGTGTCAACTCTAATGTCCTTATTGCTTCTAAATTCCAAATTTTTTTGTTTCTATTTCCAAGTATCCAATCTTTTGCACCATACGGTGGCCTTGTCTAGATTGCAAACAATTGCACTGCGAACAGAATCTCGAAATTTAATTTGTAGAACACACAAATGTTCCTAGTGACACAATCTATATTATTTGGTGATGAGAAAGAACTAGAGAATTATTAGAAATCTCAGTGTATTAAATCGTGAATATGAAAAGAGACAAAAATAAGCAATTTTCTCAATCATTTCTGTAATAAAATACTGAACCAACTAGTAGTCAAGGAAAGTGATAGGAAGGGTTCATACCAAGTTTGAGATTATAGAGGTAACCAACTTGATGCTGTGAGAATGACAAGATCCTATGTGTAGAGATTTCCTATATCCTCTTTATTACTTTTTTCCCTCTTCTTACACTGTCAGCAAAAGAAGAAATATAAACATTACTAAGTTTACCAAAGATGTGTTTCAAGAATAGGAACTGACCTGCAGACACATAAAGGTTGAGTGACCTAATTCCATCTCTTTAATGAGCCCTGTTCTCGGGCAGGCCTGATTTTTAAATAACTATCTCAAGATGGCATCAATGAATAAAAGGCACTTCAATGAAACTGGCCTTCCCCGCTCCCCCTTGTGTCACCATCCTGAGAGAAACAGCATATAGAAAGAAACTAACTGAATTACTTCAGTTTGAATTCTGACTACAAAAGACTTAAATCATTAAATGGGGATCCTATCCAATATCAAGATTATATACCTTATTATTGAATAAGGTCTAAAGTAGGATTACATATAGGGTAGGGAAACAGCAACAGGGCAAGTGATTGAAAGTAAGAAACGGGATAATCCATGCCTGGGTACTCTTATGGATCCTACGTACAAAACAAGTGATTAAGATCTTTGAACAATGTGAATACCATGGCAGTTGGATATATGTCAAAAGGCAGGCCAAGACTTCAGTATTTAGAACACTATAAGTAAAGTTTTGGTAAACTGGTAAGTTCTTTAATTTTTTTTTTTTTACTTCTTTTATTCATCTATGGTATGTTTCTGTAAGGATTAAAAAGGGTTACATCTGAATTGCTGAAATGAGTAACTAAAAATTTACCTTTATCTAGTAAATTGTTAAATGCTAGTATGACATCCATTTTGATACACAGTTGTGCTAAAAAATATTTTTCTTTTTACTGATATTACCACCGTTTCTTCTAAAATTATATAGGGAGAAACACTAATTTGAGCCTGAAAGTTTTTATAATTGATAACTGCTTTTAGGCCAACTGTGGGGTTTTATATTATTTTGTTATCTATCAAAATCAATATTTTGTGCTTCGAAGAAGCTCTACCTCTTTTGTTTAAATTATTATACTTCCATTAAGATTATCAGTGCTAAAGTAAATCTAAAGTAGATTATGCATCCTGCTTTGGGCCACCTGCCACCTGTATAGAGGCTTCACCTTGCTTACAAGTCAGCTGACAACTGGCTCACTGAGCTGCAAAAGCTCCTTTGATTTAGTGCTCTATGGCTGCTGAAAGAAGTTACACAAATTTAGTGGATTAAAATAACACATGTTTGTTCTCTTAAGTCCAAAATCAGTTTCACTGGGCTAAAGTCAAGGTATCAGCGGGGCTGGTCCCTGTAGCAGCTCTGAGGAGAAAGGCCACTTCCTTGCTTTTTCTAACAACTAGAGCTTCATTCCTTGCATTTCTTGGCTTACGGCTCCTCTCTCCATCTTCAGGGCCACGATCTTAGCATCATCCATTCTTTCTCTGCTTTGGTAACATCATCTTCTTTTCTGTAGCCAAAACTTCTGCCTCCTTCTCATAAGGACCATTGCAATTACATTGGGCCCACCTGAATGATCCAGAATAATTTACTCCATCTCAAAATCTTTAACTTATTTAGAGTCACAAGTCTGTTTTGCCATAACATTCACAGGTTCTGGAGATTGTGACAGTTTAAGGGGCTCATATTCACCCTATCACAGAGGATATACTTGGGGGTGGGGTGAGGATGGGGCAAAGGTTGGAAAGCTCTTAGGTGACATTTTTTAGATAGCAATAGCACATATATATGTTGAAAGCTTACTATGTGCCCACCTGGACACCATTCTAGACCCACTATGAGCATCAACTCATTCGATTTACAGCAGCTGAGGAGTGGGGCTGGCATTTGGTTGCAACACACCAGTAGTGATGTCTCTGTAGTTCTCAGTACCTCTGATGGGTCAGTGCTTCTGCCAAAGGCCGCATGATCAGAACGTGGAAAAGCGAGGTGCGAAACCTTGATCTTCTGGCTCCAACATACACGAGTCTAACCACTCTGCTCTTCCACAGTTCCAGCCCCTTGAGAAGCAAACTGCTGCAAAGAAAACTTCATCTCAGGGCACCAAGAACCCTGCACCTGTAGAGTTAGCACTTTTTCCTTATTTCACAGATGAGCAATCTAAAGGCTTTAAATAAAGAAATTAATTGAAATTTAATTAATTAAAATTCAGATATTGATTTACTCATGGCTATACAGTGAGGGTGGTAAAGATATCTGTACTCTTCTCACCTACTCTAGGCTAAGAACACTCACTCAGCCCTCCCGCTCCTCAATAGCACACCCCATATTATAGGCTGAACTGCATCCCCGCCCCCTTCCCCCGCCACCAAATTCATATGGTGAAGTCCTAACACCTTATACCTCAGAACGTAACTATATTTGGAGATGGGTAAAGGCCTTTAAAAAGGTGATTAAGGTAAAAAGAGGCTTATAGGTTGAGGCCTTAATCCAATATGACTGGTGTCCTTTTAAAAAGAGAAAGAGACCAGAGATGGGCATACACAGAGGAAAGGCCACTGAGGACAAAGTGAGAAGATGGCCTTCTACAAGCCAAGGAGACAGCCCTCAGGAGAAACCAAATACTGTGACTTTGGACTTCTAGTCTCCAGATCTGTGAGAAAATTATTTTTTATTGCTTAAGCCATCCAGTCTGTAGTGTTTTGTTATGGCAGGCCAGCAAATTAACACCTCAAGTAGGCCACAGTCCTTAGAAATTCTTTGGGCTAGAGGCAGCTAGCCCATGGTCCAGTTTCCTGAGATTTCCCTGAGGGAGAAATGGAGTTTCTAAAAAATTTCCAATATTTATAAAAGCCTAAGGGGAATGTACAAAGTACAATCTAAAATTCCAAATTTCACTGCTTTAGGGTGGAATTATATAAAGTGAATATGGTAACATCAGCTATTTCATATTCATCTAAAATTTAATTACAACATGTGTCTTTGATTAATTTAGAATGAGGAAATTATTTATCATTTAATAAAGTTTGTTTGGTAAATAAAAAACTCGAGCTTTTTAATGGAGAGAGATTAAACAAGAATCACTACTTTAAGTCCCAGTTCTTTTATTTCTACAAGACTCGTGCTGTTTAATCCTCTTCAGATTCCTAGAGCTCTTTCTGGGGTGAACTGAGGACATTATATGGCTCTAGTCATTTGTCACATCAGGGGTGTTGAGAGACATTGTTTTTAAATCTGTATCACTGACATTTGCTAGATGCTGTAAATCAGGTTACTTTTTTCTGAGAGTCGATCAAATTTTAAGTGAAAATGATCCCAAGTGTATTAGTCAGGGTTCTCCAGAGAAACTGAACCAATAGGATATATAGAGGGAGACTGTTATAAGGGATTGGCTCACGTGATTATGGAGGCTGAGAAGTCCCATGATCTGTCATCTGCAAACTAAAGAAGCCCAGGAAAGCAGGTGGTGGAGTTCGAGTCCAAACCTGAAGGCCTGAGAACCAGGTAGCCAATGATGTAAACCCCAGTCCAAGTCTGAAGGCCCAAGGACTAGGAGCATTGATATTCAAGGGCAAGAGAAGACAAATGTCTCATCTCAAGCACAGAGAGCAAATTTGCCTTCCTCTGCTTTCTGGTTCTATTCAGGCCATCAACAGATTAAATAGATTAGATGATGTTCACCAGAATTAATGTGGGCTATCTTCTTCACTGTCATGGATTCAAAGGCTAATCTTTTCTGTAAACATCCTCACAAACACTTCTAGAAATGTGGGCATCCCTTAGCCCAGTCAAGTTGACACATAAAATTAACCATCACACCAACGGTACAAAACATGAAAATAGCCTAATTAAATAGGTGAATAGACCTAGCTCTCTAATCTAACAGAAGCAAAATAAAAAAAGCCAAAAGCCACAGCACCCAATTCATATATCAAGCACCTTCAGTAGAATGTAATCGAAAATTTGAAAAACAATAAACAGAACTTTACATTTTATTTAAAAAGTAATAACATGTATGAAGAACACAAATTTCTATTAAGAACAGAGGTTTATTAAATGCTATGTAGTAAAATATTGAGCCCACTCTATTATACACAGGCTTGATGTTCTAACAAATAACACTGTGCCTCAATTCAGGAAAATTCGTGACACCAACACAAGGTGGAATTGTGGGGACCAACAAATGGAAATTTATCTTCTCTTCTTCAACAACTGCAATACTGATGTTCAGAAATGTTTAGGCATTGGAAAAAGCCTGTAAAGTTTCCTGAGTAGTCCATTAAACAATTCTTAAAATTATGTTACCCTAATGGAAAACATGAAAGTTTTATGATGGAAACATCATTTTAATATTTATTATCTTCAATAACTGAGAACTACAATCCTGAAACTGTTTTATGCCATATGAAAGTCTTTGGAGTCATCCTAAGGCTTTCCAGCACAAGGTATATTTCAAGGCAATTTATCAAGGACCAAATTTTCTTGAACCACCAAGCTAGTGATATGCAAAGATAAAAAGAAAAGTCAAGGTTAGATGATTATTTGCCAAATAACAAGATCTAAAATATATTGGAGGAAAATAAGGACATAAGAATGAGTGGATACTGGATGATAATAGAGATGGCTAGCAAAAGGTACCAAGACTAATTAGCATTAACTAGCATATAACGCATTTTTATTCATTAGTCAACATTTTCTTTATGAATAAAATTATTTCAAGGTAGCATTTCTAAAAACTAAATTGGTCCATTCATTTTTTCAAGTCAGTCACAAAGAAACTTTGATTCTGAATATCTAAAGTTATAGGTGATCACATTTTGATTATTTACTCCTAAGAATATCTTGCATCTTCAGCCATGGCTCTTGAATACATGGTCTCTTAAGAAAATATCACTAAAATAGAACAGATGTTGGAAAAAATACTACTTACCTACCAACAAAACCAATTCATATCAATTAGCTCACACAGAATTAAACCACTTTATATTATTTAGCTCGCACAGAAGCTAGATCTTATTCCTTTTAAATAATCTAACCAATCGTATATAAAAGTAATAGTTCAGAAAATCACACTTAAGATTTGCACTCACACTCATTTATAAATATATATTGAGATATATATTGAGGCTTTGGCCTGAATTTGGTCATTGTAATCCACACTTTGGTACCCTAACTTTTCCGAACTGGACACTTCATTCTATGAATATGATCATCAATGACAGAACTTAAAGGTAAAGAAAAGGAGCTTTAATTTGGATGAAAGAATTTTGTATTCATATTAATAAAAGATATCATGCTTTCAAAAGAATGGAAAAAATAAAATCATATGTGATAATATAGAGTACTACAATCTTAGTAACCCAAAATACAACTATCTCCATCACAGAATTAAGCAGCCAGGCCTAATATACTACGAACCATTTGATTAAAAAGGCTTATAACCAATGCTTTGACAAGGTAACATTGGTGAAAATAGTTTTAAAATATATAGCCTTGTAAAATGATATATTTTTTAACATTAAAACCTTGTTTCAGAAGTTCCCCGCTTTAGGTTATTACTCAAAAACTCATCATGTTCAAAACTCAAATTATTGTGAGATCTTGAAATCATAAGAAGCTTCTCCTTATTGGTAAAGTCTTTTTTGATTACAGCTTGGGGCACAAGCAACCTTTCCATCGGGTCCTCTTTGTTCTCTAGTTTCATATATCCTTTGCTGTTACTTCGATCCAACCGAGGCCAACTTGGATGCTTCCGCTGTTCTGCCTGAACAGTCAGGGTGGAGGGACCTCGGTCTAAGTCTAGGGATTTTGAATGTGACGAGAGCAAATTCAGAGATGTGTTGGACCCAAACTGTCTTCTAGCAGCCCCAGGAGACAAGAGCTGTCCAGCTGTAGGCCCAAGGGCCACAGAGGACTTGTACTGACTTGACAGTGACTCCCCAATGGAATTATTCCGTGGGAGTGCCATGCCGACTGGCTGGAAGGACTCACTGGTTTTGGGCAAAGGGACCACCAGGGAATCCATGGACAAATTCCTTGACCTACTTTTGAGGTTCTCGGCATCCTCGGTGATGTTATCTATACTGGGCTCATCAATAACACAGTTATTAAGTTTGATCACAGGCAATGTAAAAGCACTGATGGATGACGACACGATTGACTTGGTTTCACATTTCTTAGGGCCGTTGGTCTTATCATCAGTTGTCTGGGAAGAAGGTGGATAGAGGCCAAAGACAGAGACAGAACTGTTAGAGAGCAAAGGTGGCATAAGATGCCCAAAACTCTTGCTTTCATTTAGCACAAGTTCATCCTCCTCAACAGAGCTGTCCATCCGAAAACTGCTCCTAAAACCTGAAAAAGAGGCAATGGTATTTGCTGCCAGTCTCGAAGCACAGGAGCTCCCATTCTGTTTTACTTCCGTTTCTCCCATCAAACCGGTATAGATGCCATTTATATGTTTTTGCTCCTTGATTCTTAGCGTGTGGATGTCAATGACTGTAGAATAGATGTCCCTCATGTGTATAATTTTGGTTTCTTTGTCACGATTCTCATGAAGAATGGCATTAGCACAAATGAAAATGAAAATGCCAATTCCCATTGTGAAAGGGCCAAGCATTTTCATTTTATCAGAATGTAAGTGCTGCTCAAAGAAGCTAACCACCACACCACCTTGGTTCCGAATGACCTGAGTTTCGTTTGTAGACAATGTTGTCTCAGCATCGATAAAATGTTCTTTTTGGGGCCAATATCCAAGGACTGCCATTGCAATTCCTACAATAGAGATTAGCACTCCTAAAATGAGGAAAAATCCAGATGGAGAATAAAGCCGAATTTTTCCTCGAACAACCACAACATCGGCCCGAGGCCGACGCCTGACTGGTTTCTTCTCTTGAGCAGCAGGTGATGGGCTGAGGTTGACATGATGCTGTGATCTGGCAGAGTCTTGCCTTTTCAAGGCGGCCAGGCCAGTTATCACTCCACCAGTGGCTATCATAGCTTGTTCTTTTACTCTGAAAAGAAAAGAAAGATGATAACATAAATGTGTTCTGGGGTATGCTCATCAACTCAACAATTATTTATATATTTTTGTTTTAAGTAATGAAATGGAGCAGAAAAAAAATTTTTTAATTAACCTAGTCTGGGTAGAAGTTTTATTTATTGGCTAATTTAAATCCTGGAAATTTCATTTTTTGGCTGAATTAGTTTTTCTACTGTTAATAAAATGTCAGCTCGAGATATATTTTACTTAAATAATTTTATCACTTATTATATAAAATAGTCCCTTGGTCCTAAGGCATGCTCACGTACACTCTTGCTCCTCTATATCTCATAGACACACACACACACACACACACACACAACCTCATTATCTGCATTATTTTAAAGAAATGGAAATATCTGTATACTTAAGAGGCCCAAAATAAACAAACCATAGACTTAAAAAAGAGAATACATTCTGGCATCTCACTGTTGTGAGCTAAGATCACTCTTGTAAAAGTCACCAATAAACTCTTAACTACCACATTTAATTTCTTCCTCTCAATTCTCATCTTCCTTATTTCTCTATTTCCATGGATATTACTGATCCTTCCTTTCTTGAAACTCTTGTCCAGTCTTTCATAATGTTAAGCCTTCCTGCCTCTTTCCTAACCTCACTATTTCAATTTTGGCTCATCTTCTCTCACCTAAAAGTAGACTACCTTCCCCTGAGGATGCTGTCCTTGGCCATCTTCCCTTTATACTCTCCCTTGACACTCATATCCACTCCTACATCTTCCACCATCTCCTTTATGCTAATGAGTCCCAAGTCTATATTTCAAATCATAGCCTGAGTTTCAATTTCACATTTCCAACTCACCATGGGGGAACATATGCGCATTCATGCACCACTAGCAAAGCTGAACTCACATTCTACCAGCAATACTTGACTTTTTTAATGGTGTCAGTTCTCAGGCTTAACTCTTCATAGTCATCTTTAACTTCTCCCTTTCTTCTTCCTCTTATCCTCCAATCAGGTTCTAAGCCCTAGTAATTTTCACTACAAAATGGCTCTCGATTCTACCCCTTCGTTCCAACCTACTCTTCCCAGCCTAGGGCAGCTCTTACTAACTCTTACTAGACCATTATAATAACCTCCCGGTCTTCCAAACTCCAACTTCTCTTCCTCCACAATCAAGCTTACATGCTGACAGCAGATTAATTACCCCAAAACGCAGCTCTGAAGTTGTTTAAAGAATGGAATAATGGATAAAATATTTCCCACTACCTACCAAAGTTTAATCCGGGATTTCAAACCCATAGAATTTAGCTTTATCTCTAACTGCTCCCTTCCATTTACATAAAACTAAGACCCAATAATATTCTCTGTACTCCTTATTATACTGTTTCCGAGATTTTGTTAATAATGTTCCATCCATCTAGACCTTCCTTTACCCACCCCCCCAATCTCACATATTAACATCTGGCTAGTCATCAAAGCTCATATTCCACCTCCTTTACAAAGCCTTCTCTGACTGACTCAACAAAACCCACGTGAGCTTTCATCTCTCAGAGCATTTTAGCAAGTTTTCTGTGGCACTCGCCATATTATAATGTCTTAGTTCTCCCATGTCTTATGGTCAAACATTAAGTTTAATTCACATTTTTATTATCAGAGGCATTCAATATAGTAGCTCAAACAGGAAATATTTGCTAAAATGCTCAGTAAGGGAGTAAGTAATTCTTCTCCTGAGATTTGCCGAATAACCATCATATTACTATACTAAATATCTTAGTTAAAAGCATAAACGAAATTAATATCAAAACAAAAAGCAGTGATATATGAGTTGGTAAAATATTTGTCATTATTTGTAATGAATAGTTCTCAAGCTGCCAAATCAGGTAGGAAACAGAGGATATTTTAAAACCCAAAGGTCTCTGGGAAATTTCTGAGAGGGTTTCTTCACAGCATCAAATCTTGTCTTGCAAAGCCAAGCTTTCTTTTTGAATTCTTATTTATGATTTCTGAATTGTGTTTAAATAACAGGGCTGTAGATGGCATCTACAGTTTTAGCTAGCTGAATAAGCTGGTGAGTAAATCCTGCTTTCATTGGAGTTATAACTAGGATTAAAATAATTTAATGTTGGAAGAACAAACTATACTATAACCCATAGCTCTAGTCTATGAAATTTATCAAAATATATATACTAAAGTCTAGAACTTCTCCCAACCTTGGCTAAAACAAAACTTAGTGTCGGCCTATGTTTTCTTAAACCAAAACTGTTTTAAATGTTTGAATAAAATGCTTAGATTAGAGAGCAGCCATCTAACTCAGTTATTCCCATATGGCAGGATTACGATTTAGTCTAAAATCTTTCTCAGTAGAATGAAAATAAGGGCTATTCCATCTGTATGGAATAGTAATTCACAGTGGATTTTAAACCAGATGAAATCCTTTTTCATCTGGTTTAAAATCCACTGTGAATTACTATTCCATACAGATTCTTAGTCCTCCCCCATTTGTTAAAACATTTTCTGCAGGCAGTGCCGTTTTCTATTCCTGAGGCTGACAGAGGAAAGGGGACTGAAAGAGAAAAAAATCCATATTTTGAGAAAGACAGATGGGGATAGAAGGAGAGTGAGCAGGACTGGGCTCCTTTGTGAGCAAGCAAAGCAGGTTAGACTAGACACAAAGAAAATGCAATGTCAGTTTAAGACTGTGAAAGTTTACTTAAAAAATGAAAGGAGAAAATACTCCTGGAGAAGTTTAGAAACAAAGAATAGGGTAGGGGAAATGAAAGGATCACATAGCTTCTTCACTCAGTCTATGCTGGCTGGCCAGACCCGGGCAAGGGCACCCACACTCCCAAGGATTAGCAAACTCAGGTTGGGAGCCACCGTCCTCCTTTAATTCCATTGGAGGCAATTCAACTCTAAGTGAGCCTCTACTGTGACTCAGGGACCCAGCCCCGAGTGGGAAGGCAAAGGTGCACACACTCAGTCACTGCTTCAAAGAACTCGGAACTTAGTGAAGAAGGCAGTATATCTACCTAAAACAGAATGAGATGACACCTAGAATGAAAATTTCAGTTAGAGGGACCTTTACAACAAGTTTCATGCAGGCAATAGCATTCTAACATTCATTACAGGAAAAAATCAAGTGAACAGCATTTTAGGTAAGGTCAAGAGAAAGAAAGGCTGGAGAACAGAGCTCTGACCTGCCTTTTAGCACACAGCTCAGCACTGAGGGAGGAAACCAGACCAGGCTTGAAAAGAAAGCAGGGCCAGGTCTTGGAAATCAGGAAGTATTATTCCTAAATGATTGAATTTTACACTTATACCCAATAGAGCTGGTGTAAGACACAAATATTGTCATCGTTATCTTAGGAAAACTAATCTCGGTTTGTAGACTGAAGCAGTAAAGCAGGACTGATGTTGGGAAACAGCGTGAGGATGCTAAAGGCAATTTTGCAATAAGAAGCCTAGTGGAACTGTACAACTAGGAGGGAGTGAATGCACAGGCCTCTGCATCTTCAAACTGCAATGTCGACTTGGTCTAACGTGTTCACTATATGCAATAACAGCCTAAATCTACTTTTTTATTTATGCTGCAAAGCCACATCCTACACATTTATCACTTTGGGGGGGGGGCGCGGATAGGGACCCTGTTGACTATAGTCTCCTTATTGTAACAAACTATAGCATTCTTCTAAGTTTTAATAATAACAATAACAGTATGAAAGCTAACACGCACATTGCTTATGGTCAGGCACTATTCTAAGTGCTTTGGGTATGAGAATATATTTATTCTCACAACGGTTCTGGAAGTGGATATAATCATTATGTCCTCTATTTCACAGATGAGAAGACTGAGGCTCAGAGAGTTTAAGTAATTTGCTTAAGGTCACACAGCTCGGGGGTGACTCCAGAGCCTGTGCTCTTATAGAATTTGAGATAGGGACAGTCCTCCAAATTTGCTTTCACTGAGGTTTTCTTTTCCTGTCAGTTTTCATTTTGATTCATGTTTCCATCAGAACACCAGATCCTCAAGAGGGCTCTTTGCCTTTAAAACTGTAACTATGAATGAACCAACTGCCATTCCTCAGAACACACTGACCACATGGGAAAAACCATGGGGGCCTGTTCCTGGGAGAGCAGCAGGACTCACACTGTCTAGACTCCCTTTGGCAGGTGAAGGTGCAGACTGAGGACGGGCCAGCCCCACCTCCACACTCCTCCTCTTTGCTCTCTACCATCCCTGATAGGGCTGGGTTGGGACTTATTTCGTCCAAGATCCAAACAAAGAATTTTACTACACTGACTTTCATTTTGTTAACTTGAACACAGAGTTTTTTGCTTATCGGTCTCTAGATCCAAAGCTTCATCCAAACTTTTCGAACTTGAGACCTCTTCCTAGGTGGGCATTGTTAATTTGTGTTGATATTCATTCATGTAATTAGCGAAAACTGATGTCTGGTAGGAAGTACAGTAGATACAGGGCTCAAAATATGTTTCCTGGCCTGAAGAATATAATGATCAGCAACTATCTTTTCAAGGGGGCATTCAACTAGTTATAAATAAACCTAATGAGAGGGTCAGCAACACTCGATTTCCATATTCTCCAAAAAAAATCATGATTTTTTCAAAAGCCAAACTAAAAGACAGATATGCATATGTTCTGTTGACAAATAAAAAAAAAAATTTAATAGATTGGGTTAACTTTTGGGTGCATACTAATCATCCTATTTTTCATTCCCAGTGTTCAAAAAACAGTTACAATTTTGCTAGCATTAGTTAACAAGATTACCAGTTGAAAACTTGCAGAACACACCTTCTTCATTGTACACACCAAGATCCTACTGGGCTATCTCTAGTCTTGTGCCACCTTACCCATCCATCATGGATCTCAGAAATCATTAGTAGAAATCCAATCACATTTGTTACCTTTATCACTGCAGATATAAACTCTTGAACTCATTTAAGCACTCTATTACCGTCTACTCACCCACGCTGGCTCATCTTCCCACTGGA